AAAACCAACCTAGATGGATTTCATATGCGTCAGATCCAGGACATTCTCAAAACCATGTATGGAGCAAGCATCTTTAGCACTTTGGATCTTAGTAGTGGGTATTGGCAGGTCAGTATGGATGACTGCAGCATCCAGAAGACCACTTTTATAACCAAGAAAGGCCAAAATTAGTTTCTTCGTTTACCGTTTGGCCTGAAAAATGCCGCTGCCACTTTTCAAAGGTTGATGTTTACAGTGTTACAAGACTTGACCGGTCAGTGTTGTTTCGTCTATATTGATGATATAGTGATTTATTCCAGAGATGTTCAGGAACATCTCCAAAACCTTAAACAGGTTTTTGTGAAGCTAGAGTCTGCAGGTTTGATCCTTATCTTAGAGAAGTGCAGCTTCCTCAAAATACCCCTTTCCTTTCTGAGACATGTCATTTCTGGGGAAGGAATCAGAACTGAGACAACCAAGGTTGATGCTGTTAGTAAAGTTCCACCCCCCAAGAATGTGAAAGAAGTGCAATGATTTTTGGGTCTTGCTCTGTGGTATCATCGATTCATTCCTCGATTCTCAGAGCGTGCAGCCCCTCTACATGAACTTAAAAAGAAGATTGTATCTTGGGCTTGGACTCCTGAATGTCAACAGTCCTTTGAAGACTTAAAAGAGGCTTTGAAAAAAGCTCCAGTGTTAATGCCCCCAGACTTCAACCAAACTTTCATGGTGCAAACAGATGCAAGCAACACAGGCTTGGGAGCCGTCTTAACTCAGAAAAACAGTGATGGGGAACATGTAATAGCTTATGCATCTCGCCTATTACAAGGTGCTGAAAAATCATAATCTGCAGCTGAAAAGGAATGCCTTGCTGTAGTGTGGGCTGTGGAAAAATGGCGACAATATCTAGAGGGTCGACATTTTGAAGTAGTCACTGATAATTCTGCACTCACTTGGGTGTTTAATCATCCCCGACCAACCTCTCGTCTTACAAGGTGGGCCATCCGTCTGCAAGGCTTTGATTTTATTGTACTTCACCGTAAAGGAAAGTGCAATATTGTACCTGACACTTTGTCTCGTAGTATTGCTGGAGAACAGTCTTCTGCTCAAATGGCAATGTACCAAGTCAAGGAAATGGGAGGCGACTTACCTGTTAATTGGGAAGAGATCGGAGAGCATCAAAAGGCTGATGCATCACTTGAATCTCTGTGGGATGCTGCTAAAACTAAACCTGTAGACTCCAACCATATCCATTATACCATATGTAATGGCTATCTGTTTAGATGCATACCCAATTCTCATGAGTATCAGACCTTACAAGTAGTTGTACCGACTCCTCTAAGGCAGCAGTTTTTGCAATATGCCCACGATAATCCCTTGAGCGGGCATTTGGGCCGAATGAAGACTCTGCGCCGATTACTCAATGTGGTGTATTGGCCAACGATTCGTAAAGACACTTGGGGTTATTGTAAACAATGCCAAATATGCCAGCAATACAAGCCTCGAATAACCAAGCTGTCAGGTTATTTGCAGTCCACTCCAGTTGTAGAGCCTGGCTACATGCTTGGTATTGACTTGATGGGGCCATTCCCAAAAAGTCTTAAACAGAATGAGTATTTGTTGGTTATTGTGGACTATTGTAGTAAGTGGGTTGAACTATTCCCATTAAGATCAGCAAAAGCTCCTCTAATCGCTGAGATCCTCATAAGAGAAATCTTTACTCGCTGGGGGACACCTGCCTACTTGGTGTCAGATCGTGGTCCGCAATTTACATCTCAACTGATAAACATCACATGTAAAAAATGGGGAGTGACTCAGAAACTTACCACATCATATCACCCTCAGACTAACTTCACTGAAAGAATTAACAAAACTCTCAAGACCATGATTGCCTCATTTCTCAAGGAGAATCATAGGCTCTGGGACAGATGGATTTCCGAGTTCCGTTTTGCAATTAATTCTGCTTGGCAAGAAAGCACCGCCTACACTCCAGCTGAGATTGCACTTGGGCGTAAGCTCAAGGGTCCTTTGGAACGTCTGGCACAACGACCTCCTGACCCGGACAAAGAAGCTTATGACGTAGTTGAACGCACCCAAGCTCTGTTGGAAAGAGTTAGAGAAAATGTTGTACGCGCTCAAACCCGTCAAGAAATGTACTACAACCGAAGAAGGAGACATGAGGCCTTTCAACCAGGGGATTTAGTGTGGGTACAAGCTCATCCTCTATCTCGTGCTAACAATGCATTTATGGCCAAGTTAGCTGCAAAGTGGAGAGGTCCTGCAAAGATCATAAAGCAGCTCAACAAGGTGAACTATATAGTTGAAATGGTAGATCAGCCTGATCACTGTGATACTTACCATGTCGAAAAATTAAAACGGTTTTATGGTACGGTTCCACCTTCTACTGAGAGGGAGGGTGTGTAACAGTCACCACTGTTTCTTTTGTAGTTCCCCTCCCTGGCACTAGGGGGAGTTGGGGAAGGTAACTATTCTAGCTCACCCTTTATAAGGAAGTGAGTAATTGTAAGACCATCCACGTCTCCGTGGTCTGCTCCTGTGGTTTTAGTACCAAAAAAGGATGGTAGCACAGAGCTTTAGAGCTTTGAATACTAAAACCAACCTAGATGGATTTCATATGCGTCAGATCCAGGACATTCTCAAAACCAGCAAGCATCTTATAACCAAGAAAGGGCAATATGAATTTTTTCGTTTACCGTTTGGCCTAAAAAATGCCGCTGCCACTTTTCAAAGGTTGATGTTTACAGTGTTACAAGACTTGACCGGTCAGTGTTGTTTCGTCTATATTGATGATATAGTGATTTATTCCAGAGATGTTCAGGAACATCTCCAAAACCTTAAACAGGTTTTTGTGAAGCTAGAGTCTGCAGGTTTGATCCTTATCTTAGAGAAGTGCAGCTTCCTCAAAATACCCCTTTCCTTTCTGAGACATGTCATTTCTGGGGAAGGAATCAGAACTGAGACAACCAAGGTTGATGCTGTTAGTAAAGTTCCACCCCCCAAGAATGTGAAAGAAGTGCAATGATTTTTGGGTCTTGCTCTGTGGTATCATCGATTCATTCCTCGATTCTCAGAGCGTGCAGCCCCTCTACATGAACTTAAAAAGAAGAATGTATCTTGGGCTTGGACTCCTGAATGTCAACAGTCCTTTGAAGACTTAAAAGAGGCTTTGAAAAAAGCTCCAGTGTTAATGCCCCCAGACTTCAACCAAACTTTCATGGTGCAAACAGATGCAAGCAACACAGGCTTGGGAGCCGTCTTAACTCAGAAAAACAGTGATGGGGAACATGTAATAGCTTATGCATCTCGCCTATTACAAGGTGCTGAAAAATCATATGCTGCAGCTGAAAAGGAATGCCTTGTTGTAGTGTGGGCTGTGGAAAAATGGCGACAATATTTAGAGGGTCGACATTTTGAAGTAGTCACTGATAATTCTGCACTCACTTGGGTGTTTAATCATCCCCGACCAACCTCTCGTCTTACAAAGTGGGCCATCCGTCTGCAAGGATTTGATTTTATTGTACTTCACCATAAAGGAATGTGCAATATTGTACCTGACACTTTGTCTCGTAGTATTGCTGAAGAACAGTCTTCTGCTCAAATGGCAATGTACCAAGCCAAGGAAATGGGAGGCGACTTTCCTGTAAATTGGGAAGAGATCGGAGAGCATCAAAAGGTTGATGCATCACTTGAATCTCTGTGGGGTGCTGCTAAAACTAAACCTTTAGACCCCAACCATATCCATTATACCATATGTAATGGCTATCTGTTTAGATGCATACCCAGTTCCCATGAGTATCAGACCTTACAATTAGTTGTACCAACCCCTCTAAGGCAGCAGTTTTTGCAATATGCCCACGATAATCCCTTGAGCGGGCATTTGGGCCGAATGAAGACTCTGCACCGATTACTCAATGTGGTGTATTGGCCAATGATTCGTAAAGATTATTGTAAACCATGCCAAATATGCCAGCAATACAAGCCTTGAATAACCAAGTTGTCAGGCCATTTGCAATCCACTACAGTTGTAGAGCCTGGTTACATGCTTGGTATTGATGGGGCCTTTCCCAAAAAGTCTTAAACATAATGAGTATTTGTTGGTCATTGTGGGCTACTGCAGTAAGTGGGTTGAACTACTCCCATTAAGATCAGCAAAAGCTCCTTTAATCACTGAGATCCTCATAAGATACATCTTTATTCGCGGGGGGACACCTGCCTACTTGGTTTCAGATCGTGGTCTGCAATTTACCTCTCAACTGATAAACATCACATGTAAAAAAATGGAGAGTGACCCAGAAACTTACCACATCATACCACCCACATACTAGCTTCACTGAAAGAATTAACAAAACTCTCAAGACCATGATTGCCTCATTTCTCAAGGCGAATCATAGGCACTGGGACAGATGGATTTCCGAATTCCATTTTGCTATTAACTCTACTTGGCAAGAAAGCACAGCCTACACTCCAGCTGAGATTGCACTCCGGCGTAAGCTCAAGGGTCCTTTGGAACGTCTGGCACAACGACCTCCTGACCCGGACAAAGAAGCTTATGATGTAATTGAACGCACCCAAGCTCTGTTGGAAAGAGTAAGAGAAAATGTTGTATGAGCTCAAACCCGTCAAGGAATGTACTACAACCGAAGAAGGAGACATGAGTCCTTCCAACCAGGGGATTTAGTGTGGGTACAAGCTCGTGCTGACAATGCATTTATGGCCAAGTTAGCTGCAAAGTGGAGAGGTCCTGCAAAGATCATCAAGCAGCTCAACAAAGTAAACTATGTAGTTGCAATGGTAGATCAGCCTGATCACTGTGATTCTTACCATGTCGAAAAATGTAAACGGTTTAATGGTACGGTTCCACCTTCTACTGAAAAGGGGGTTTTCAGTAGAAGAAACTGTTTCTGTTGTAGTCCCCCTCCCTGTCACTAGGGGGAGTTGGGGAAGGTAGCTATTCTAGATCACCCTTTATAAAGAAGCGAGTAAGAGGGTAGCCATGTGCTTTGGCAGGGCTAGGAGCTCACCTTTGTTCAAGCCATTGTATGAGCCCTATTTTGAGGAACATCATTGTTCTTTCAGCTCAATGTAAATGATGTTTTTGTTGAATGAAGTGTGTATATGTATATGTAATGTGTTATGTTTGGTCTGATTATTTAATTTTGTTTGTATACAGAGGGTTTTCTTTTGTGGGTGTATGGGCTGTGCCAACCATCAACCATGAGGTTGAAAAGAGTAAGGACTATTTCATCCTGATTATTTGTTTGGACTGATTTTTCTTGGGATATACCTTGATGCTTGTACTGGAATGGGAAATGGATGCTTAATATGGACATTAACCATTGTGAGCTTCAACAACAATGTTCATCTATGATTCTCTACTCCTTTAAGAAGAGTGTTATAAGGTAGTGGGGTTTCATGTCTGTATGTGATCAGGTTCAATGGTGTATTTTTCTGTGTTTTTTTTTTGTTTTATATTGTACTGGGGTTAAAAAGAAAAAAAAAACTTTAAAATATAGCTGGTAGATGTTCCCCTTCCGATTTTGTGTGACTCTGGTTGTTTTATTATAGCTGGTGTTACAATGTTATAAAAACGGGAGTGTCATGATGGACAGCTGAGATTGACAGCTCCTCTGAGCGAACTGTGGCACCAACAGATTTTTTCGGGGGGTTCTTCAGGAGGAGACTGGAGTTGTATTTACCTTATTTTAACACAAGCCTCTTGTACGGCAATCAGCAAACATAAAAATGGAGCAGTCAGGCTAATTAAAAAGGGTCAGGGGTCTGGGCGGGACGCGGCTCCACTTCACTCACTACTGCGCGGACTCAGGTCCCAAATCAGCACAAGATGTCAGAGCCCTATTGAGACACAAGCTGGCGGCTTCACTTTTGTTCAATGGAAGAGAGTGAATGTGCATCATCCATCTTTTTTTTTTTTACAGTCTATGGTTTGAATGTAAACAAAGTTTGCCACGGGTCAATCAGAATTTGCACAGTCGGAGAAGAAAGGAAAGATTTTCAGTGAGTATTAATTTACAGTCTGACCTGTTCCTGTACACAAAGGTAGTTTGTAGCCTCGAGAAGACTTGTAATACAGATTATGAAGCTATTGAACCATTTCATGGTATATTTTAAGCGTCTTAAAGTCTGCATGAACCGGAAGTTGCGACCGACTTTACTTCCGTATTGTGACGCACTTCAGAGTAGGGATGGGCGTATCGATCCAAAGTATCGATATATCGATACTGACTTGAGTATCGAAAGTATCGATACTCAGACAAAAAATATCGATACTAAGGTCTATTTTATTTACCAGTGATTTTGTTAATTTAACAAAAAAATAGTAATAATAATGCGTACAATATGCATTGAATTGGACGAATAACCTTTGTTAGCGAGTAATTGTGTCGGATAGAACTATTTTCCTGCTCCTCTAAACACGCAAATGTTGCAAGACCGAACTAATCAATCACAGAGAGCATTCACTCACTTCTGACAGTACATTCAAACAGGGCTGCTTTTCCCAAAAGTATCATAAGAAAGCATTAAAGCTTTTGGGAACGGCAGCACTGAACAATGCTTATCGGAGGAAAGAGAAAAAAAACATATGTTTGAGTTATTCACATAAAACAAACTGAAATTGTAGCCTACATAGTTTGTGAATTATAGTTATTTAAATTGAACGTTGAAAGATAATATTGATCATGTTCTATTGTGTAAGGTTACCATTTTATGCATGCAACAACCTTTCACTGGCAGTCCCTTATGAAAATGAACCATGGTTTTATTAAAGTGACCATAGTTCAACTGTAGTATTTATAGATTTGAATCATGTGTAAACAAAAAACATATTTGAACCATGTGTGAACAAAAAAATAACCTAATAAGTTACAATTAAGGCGTATTGAATGTTAAAATGCATTTTAAACAAAGTTAAGTGCTTATTACCCATTTTACTCTTAATAATTTAATAAATTTAGTCATTTAAAAGTTTAGTTCAGAAGTATCGAATCGGTATTGATATCGACGATACTGATTTGAAAAATATCGGTATCGTATCGAAAACAAAAGAAGTCGTATCGCCCATCCCTACTTCAGAGAGAAGCGGAATATTGAATGAGAAAAACCGAGGGCATGGCTTGTTTTTTTTTCTAATACGAACTGATTGGATGTAGTAAAGTAGGCGTTTCATTCAGAACAACACTGACAGCTGGAGGGGTGTGTTTAAGGATGTTATGCTCAAGCCCAAGCCGTCAAACTGACGTCATAAGAGAAGGTCCGTCATTTCAGAGGGGAGGAGCATTTTCAGATTTGAATTAAAGAACAGTATATAACAAAGGCAAACTATTTATTTATTTATATTTTTGGGATTGACTTGCACGGATGAATTGTTCACCACAAAAATAGCAGTGTGCGCTAACAAAATAAATAAAATCAGTTTTGATTTAATGTATACTTTTGACAGCAATGGGTGAATCTAACGGCAATGCAGGTGAAACGCTGGGACACCTGAATCCTTCACAATATCGTTATATACCAAAACAACACTGTTAAAAGTCTAAGGTGAATGTAAAAAAAAAAAATGTTGGTCTCATCAGCTGCTTTCAGGGCTGGCTTCTCAGAATAGGAAGTTGGTGTCTCCTCAAAAATAAAACAAAGCTAATTTTAACAAAATGTGAGATCAATCTGTTTATAAATGTTTCGTTTTTCTGAGATAACTGTTGAAAGGCGACACCAGCAGTGACTCTCTTTGTGCTCATTGAGTTGTAATAGAGCCCCTAATGATCTGAGCACCTGGTCGAGACGGTACACTACACATAAAATACATTATGATATTTTCCTGTCCTTGAAAGCTTTGTGTTTTTGCACTGGGGTCCACACAATCCTAAATACACCACTCATTAATTTGTCTGTGTTTGCAGCTTAGTATGTCTATTATAATCTATAATCTATTGTATGCTGGATCCACAGCTGCCTGTTGAAGTGAAGCACCAATCAGACACAGATTTCAGCTGATGAAGCCTCTAATAATCTGAGGAGTATATTCGGAAAGCATTTGCCTTCTCATAGCACAACATGATACAAAACAAATGGATGTCTATATGACAACAGTTTGGAAGACTGCAAACTTATGACTTTGTTTTTATAGGCATACAATTTTTAACCTGTCAGATCGAGTCTATTTGATTCTAAAAAGCTGTTAATGTTGTTGTTTTTTTTTACAATTGATAAAAATGTCAAATACTCAAAGTATAAATGTCAAAACAAAGGTGTCATGATGTCATACGGCTCGTTCACTGAATCGCTGGCCGTCTCAGTGATCAGCCGTAAAACAGTGATTCTGTCCTAATTCCCTTGCATATCAATGGTGGAGTTCCCTTTAAAATCTTAAATGATTCCCTTTGAGTTAAATTATTAAATTATTAAATTATCACTGTTTACCCTACAATGTCAAATACTCAAAGTATAAATGTCAAAACAAAGGTGTCTAATGATCAATTTTAAACCCTCATTACATGCAAATCCTTTGTTTTCCACATGAATGATAGATTTGTGATGTGGGATGTCAAAGAAAGTAATTGTGAATCGTGGAGATAATGTCATGATCAGCTGCAACTACTCAGAGAAACATAAAAATGATCCCAAAATCATGTACAAAAAAGAAAAAGACTACATTGTGATGATTTACACCACTGAGACATGGGGAAATAAAAAAGAATTGAGCTTTTCAGATGACCGGGAAGAAAACATCTTCAGTGTGAGAATCACTGCTGTGACACCAGATGATGGAGGAGTTTATCTTTACTGTGAACATCACTGATCTGAGAGAAGAGGATTCTGGGATATACTGGTGTGGAGCTCACGTCATCACTAAAGTGTATTTAAATGTCAGCAAGGGTTAGATGATTTTATTTATTCTTAAATTTTCAGATATCAACCCTTAAACAATCAGATCATTAATCTACAGACAACAATCACAATAATTTTATTGAACTTTATTTTTAAAACCTAAACTTCTACATGTGTCTGTTTACAGCTTGAAATGTATTGAATGTTGAGTGAATGATGAAATATATAATAATAGCATTTTAAAAACTCTGCATGAAAACTCTCTTAGTTATTTTAGTCAGTAAAAGATCATCAAATGTTACCAACAGCAATTTATAAATATAAAATTTATATTAATTGTTTTTGTTTTATGTTACTCATATTAAAGAGTCATGTTAACGGCTTAAATTTAAACTGCACAACATTAGTTTGAATATTTGTGTAGGTAATGTTTAATTTATGTGTATCTCTGTGTTTCTCTTTAATTATTACTCTGTTGGTGTGTTTTATTCTCAGATTTCTCCATGATCATCATTATTAGTGTGTGTGTGATTCTGCTGCTGATCGGTGGATTCACTTTGACTGTGTGCAAATTAAGACACAAGAGACGAGGTGATGCACAAACACACACACACACTTAATTTTGTCTTATCCTCTTTGTGTCCTTCACAGAATTGCCGTATTTAAATTAAGATGTTTGACTGTCTCTGAGTGTCTCGCTTTCAGCAGCAGTAAATCTCACTGACTCAATGAGTTTCTCTGAGTCTCCGGTTTGACGCTTGATGTTGATCTGATTCATGTGATTGTCTCTCAGATCCCGGATCAGTCCAAAGTCATGATGAATTACCCACAATCCCCTCTGATGGGCTCCTGTACGCTGCTGTCAGTTTCCAGAGGCATGAAGAGTCTCTCAGTGACGCTACAGTCAGACTCAGTAATGAGGAGATTCACTCTGATTACACCACAGTCATTTACCACACGAGACTCAACTAACTTAGATCAAAGATCACCACATATTAGCAATAGTATTTAAAAAACACTTTTTTTCTTCTTTTACATTTGTTTACATTTATTTGTTGATATAAATGTGCTCATCATTAATTTAATGTTTAAACATATTTTTTATTAGTTAGAATAGTTCAGTTCGGTGTGTGAATCATGAGACACTTTAAAGTTTGCTGCTCATGTTGCTTCTTTCACATGTTTCAAATTGTGTCCGCTCAGTTTATGTGAGGGTGTGATAAAAACAGGAAATACAAACACTTCTCGAATATACTGTCAAGTTTCCACTCAGAGACACATGCAGCTTTTGACATGTACACTCAAAACGGGATTTTGCTTATTGTTTAGTTTACTTAAATAAAACAATCTAATGAAACAACACTTGAATATTTTGTCACCCCTTAATTTCATTACTTTATATTTATTTATTTTATTTATTTATTCATTTTGTGTTGCGACTATGTGAATAATTTGGGCTGACAACTAAATCTGGACAGTGGATTTCTAGTTCCCTTTCAAGGGAACTCCGAACTGCGTCCTCTAGGGGTCGCTATGGGGGAATGCCTGGTCGTGACCCGTGTCTGAAGCATATATTCAAAAAACACCAACAACATGTTGGCCGGCGCCAGCCCATGACGTCACTACCGGTGCGACTATAGTATAAATAGGTGCCCGGGAGAACACGTCATTCTCTTCTTCATCTTCATTGACTGTTTTGTTTGAAGCGTGCATTCTGTGGTAAGAGCAATCTTACTTCCTTCATTATGGCGAGCACTAGCAAGACGTTTAGAAGATGTGTGCATCCGTGTCGTCGTTATTTGACACCTGATGACACGCATGATCTTTGCGTCTTTTGTTTGGGTGAAGAGCACGCACGCGATGTCCTTGAGGGGGCAATCTGCGTTAACTGTGAGCATTTTTCGATGAAAAAGCTCCGCTCTCATCTGTCTCTCTTTTCGAGGAATAGATCCAGATCTAGCCAATGAGTTTAAAGAGGAGCTTTCCCTCTCGTGCTCGTCGGCTGTGGACGAGAGTGAGCCGCTGGAGGATGATGTTATTTCCCCAACATCATCTGATCCAGGGCCAGTGCTCTGCTGGGTTCGGCCCAGGAAGAGCAGGAGATGTCGGAGGAGGGCGAAGAGGCTGAGACTGAGCCCTCCCAATCCTCCTGCCCTGCATATGATGAGCTATTGTAGGTCATGGATCGCGCCACCATGAGGCATGACTTGCCGTGGAAGCGGACCAAGAAAGTGACGTCACGAGGTCGTCTCGATGAGCATAATCTGTTTGACCATAGCCCTCCAGCTCAGGTGGGCCTTCCTTTTCTTCCTGATCTCCATACAGAGATCTAGAAGGAATGGAAGAGGCCGTTTTCCTCACTCATCCATCGGTTCCAGCAGACGAGTTATGCCAACATCGAGGGGATACGCGAAAGTGGCTATGAGAAGATGCCCCCTGTAGAAGAGACGCTGGCTAGCTATCTCTCTATGGGTGAGACATCCTCTCTTAAGACTCCATCCTTGCCATCTAAGCCCCTTCAGGATACATCTTGCTTAAATGGCAGGGCATACGCAGCAGCAGGGCAGGCTGTTGCTTCGTTGCACACGATGGTGGTGCTCCAGGCATATTAGGCTGACCCGCTGAAAGACCTGGATAAAGGCGAGGGCCTTTCTCCCGATGAGGTAGCGGAGTTGCGCCGCACCACGGATCTCGCTCTCCGTGCTACTAAGCAGGCCGCCTCTGCTATGGGCAGGTCCATGGTGGCTATGGTAGTGATGGAGAGACATCTGTGGGTGAACCTGGCAGATATCGGGAAGAAAGAGAGGGGCTTTCTTCTCGATGCTCCGGTTTCACCGTCCAAACTTTTCGGTACCTCCGTTGAGACGGTGGTTGAGAAGTTCAGGGAGGCGAAGGTGCGCTCAGCGGCCTTCAAATCCTTAATTCCACGAAGGTCCAGGTCTGAGTCCGAACAACCCAGGGGTCCTGGCCCGTCTCGGTTTGAGGATCAGAGATGGGCACAGAAGGCTAGTGTCGTGGCTTGCGCTCCTCCCTTTCGCGGGTCAAAGGGTCAAAGGGAGGTAGGCAAAGACCTAAGGGATGTGATCCAGACGAGGCATCAGCGCTTTCGTCCGGATTAGAGTGATACTTGAGTATCTCATAATTTCCCTCGGGGGGGGTTAACATCTGCCCTTATCTTCCCTTTCCTAATTCCCCTGTAACCACCATCTCTCCACCTGACCGAGGTTAGGTAGGAACTCCCTGCATTACAGTCTCCTATGCTGGACCTATGATGTTTAGGTTGGTTCTATGGCTTCATAGAAACCACCTTACTGATGGTCCGGACTAGAGGTTTCTTCGGGTCGCTTCTTGAATGGGGCCCCTGCGCGGGAACCATGGTGGGTGAGTACCAGTGGTGTAGTCTACGTGATACGCAGGTATACGCCGTATACCCACCAGGAAAGGTCAAGGATTTCTGTATGCCCACTTAAAAAGTGCGAGGATACGTAACAACATCGTTTTATGACTTTCACACGTTCATTCGCGATCGCCTCCCAGGTAGCCAAGCTGAGGCCTGTTGAAAGATTTCTTATCCTGTGGCTCCCTCTAGTGGACTGCAATTGTCCTTTAGAGGGGGCATTGTTGCTCAGCCAAAGCAAGTCTATGGGAAATTTTTTATAATTATTTATACCAAAACTGTAAGTCCGATAAGTTAGAAAAGATATAGCAACAAACTTTAAAGATCAAAGGTCTCTGCAGAGTTTGGTGCTTGTAGCATTAAAGCCCTAGGAGGAGATATAGTTGAAAATTCTGGGTTTTAGAAGAATAATAATAAGTTTAACCCGTCGATGTTGTATCCAGTTGGTATGATAGCCCTGGTTCCGGCTTCATGCTTCCTGGATCATGCGGCCAGATCACAGGCTTCTGCGGGAGCCTTCTTGATCATCAGGCCCCCGGCACGGCACTGAAAACATTTTCTGGATGTCCGGGCTGGGCTTATGCTTTCAGGCTGCCCTGTCTGTTACGCCGTATCTAGGTCCCCCTGAGGGGTTTCCTGGTCACCAGGATATCCCCTGTTGCTGAGGCATCAAGCAGGAAGTATAGGTGGCATTTGTGAGAACCTTCTTGTGAAATGCTGTCTCAGGCAGTGCTCTCCTCATCTCAGAGAGTTATCTTTGAGCTTGCCACTCCCGTTTGGCTCAGTAATTCCGGGTATCTGTGCAACAGATGCTTGGGAAGTTCTTAAATCCATGCTATGGTAAGTGCACACGCTAAGCTTTGTGCACTTTCTGAAATCCACATGGTGGTAAGTGTGCACGCTGAGAACTTTGCGCACTTTCTGAAATCCTGTATGGTAAGGGGTTACGCGTTATTAGCCTTGTTCCCTTTCTCGGAGTTCGCTTAGACCCCGGTACTCGCCTTGGGCTCCACTCAATCAGTGTGTCTCTGTTGACACACTTTTGAAGCATCGCTCCCCTCACCATTGAGGGTTATTGTCAGGGTGCGAACTACGGGGGAGCTAGGGGGAGCTCGGCTCCCCTTAATAAGACATGGGCTCCCCTGAAAATGGGATTTGTGAAATTTTGGGGGGTCTCAAAAAAATATTGACAATGTGTTATTTTGATGTGCAATTTCATTTTTGTGTAATGTGATCATCGTGGATTATTATGTGTAAAATTGCAAAAATATAATTCATTCATGCATGACGGTGATTTAAACCTAATTCACTTCAATAAAGATAACTATACATGCTATTCTTGTCATGAGCATCAAGGCGTGGGGGCGCTGCGGTGCAAATTCCACTCATGTTTAGTACATGTTAACTCAAAGATTCGTAGAAAAAATATAAACGTTGGACTCTGTGGTCGATTCTGTGTTAAGGTAAGGCATGTTATTCGCAATTATGTGTTGTGGCTGTGTTGTTATAGTCTGCGTGACTCTCGATGTCTTAGGCCTAATTGAACGGAGGAATTATGGTATTCTTCTGTAGCCTGACGACGAGTAACTTTAACCATTGTTCATGTGAACTCAAAGAGAGCCCGATGCTTTGTTTATAGACTATTTGTGGGTGGCTGTTTGTTGTTTCACCTATCAATTCGTGTCGATAAAGTATAACAGGGTAAATCCCGTATAGTGATTTATCCTATATAGTGCTTGCATAAAGCAAGTAGTGCATACACTTGTAGCTGTTATGTATCTTTGTAAGTCATTGTAAGCCCTCTTTTGAGGCTATGATGCTAGGCTCTTGGTCGTATCCCCTTAAAGGAATCTATTCCTGATTCCAAGCCTTGAGCTCTACCCCGGGCCCAGGAGTCTGGCCTTAACAGGTAAGTTTTTTGGGGTATGTAGCCTAGGCCTTTGGCCGTAGGGGATAATGTCACGGAAAGCCGTCTAATGTCCTAGGGGCAGCTCCCATGACTATGGTAGAGTTGGTACTTAGCGCTCACCATGGTTTCTGGCATGCACTCCCCTCAGCATGGCGGCGTGGGTATACCGTTCCCCATAGCGACCCCTAGAGGATGCAGTTCAAAGTTCCCTTGAAAGGGAACGTCTCAGGTTACTTATGTAACCATGGTTCCCTGAGTAGGGAACGAGACACTGCGTCCTCTAGGTTTCCTGCCATACTTCGGACGCAAACTTCAGACAAAGAAGTGAATGACGTGTTCTCCCGGCGTCTATTTATACTATAGTCGCACCGGTAGTGATGTAATGGGCTGTCGCCGGCCATTATGTTGTTGGTGTTTTTGAATGTATGCTTCAGACACGTGTCACGACGAGGCGTTCCCCCATAGCGACCCCTAGAGGACGCAGTGTGTCGTTCCCTACTCAGGGAACCATGGTTACATACGTAACCTGAGACGTTTCCTAGCATGCTTTGCATGGATGTGAATCGGTGGAGTACATGTTGAAAATGAGTGTTATTTTATGTCTTTGTGAGCAAAGGGAAAGATTTGATTAGCGCTTAATGTTTTTTTTTGGGTGGGGGTTTAAAAGAGGTTAATTT